TCACGCGTACATTGGTTAAACTTGGGAGTCGAGAGAACGCAGTCTTTCAATGGCTTCTGGAGCACATGTTGGAGGTTAATTCGCATCGATCGGTTAACCACATGACGACACAAGCGCTGGCTACTGTGATGGCTCCAAACGTCTTCTCATGCGCTGGAATGGCTCGATCAACGCAGGAAAACGCTGGCAATCTGATGAAACAGATCGTACTGTTTCTGCGTGTCTTGCTATCGTGGCGACGTGCAAATTTGGGAAGTTCCTCAACAGCATCGACGTATCTACTTGAGCAAGAAGAAAAGAACGTTGCAGCGGCGTTTTCACCGAAAAAAGAGACGCCACATAACGGAAAAGTGTCGACTTTGCAACAAAAAGTCCGGCAGTCGTTAACAAAATTTGTGAAAAGTCCGGAAAATAGTCCAGAGAGTGACTTTGTGTCATTGGAGACAGCACTTCGCAGTCGAGTTGACCAACTTTGGTCCGATTTAGAGAAGAGCGAGGTCACAATTGCCGAGACCAAACGCCAGGAGAATATACTACGTCGCGTGTTCAGTGAATTCCAAGAGTGCATCCTGCAACTGATTGCTCGATACTCGAAGAAAAGTGAAGAATGCAAGTGGGCGAATGAGTTTATCGAGAGATTGAAGGAGAATAAACAATTGGAGACGACGATGCCAGCGTCTTTGGAGAGGATGAAGGACTGGGTGAGTGCTGCATTGACATTTGAGGCATTTTGTCGACTTCTTGATCGAGAACAGACGACGCAGGAAAAGCTGGAGAAGCTGCAGACTCGACTTGGAGTTTCGATTCGAGATAACCAGTTTGGATCGATATCTCGCAGCGTATTTAACCATTTATCACGCGTGCATGATCAGCAGCTGAATACCCACCAGTCGAATCAAAGTGGAGATACTGGTGTTGACAAAACTCTACTGAATGGTGCGGTACGTCTAGCCGCAAGATCTGGTACTGACGCGTCTTCAAAGCTGCATCGCACTGTAGCAAAACTGGGAGAACGTCAACCTGCGATCGGGAATTTACTGGCTTTACTTGGTGATTGCAGTCAAAACCGACGACAGTCGGGGGTTCACAGCCTGGGGTGGCTTCAAACGCAACTTATGGAACCGATTCCATCGTTTACACCTTAACATGATTAGTAGCCACCTACACGAATCTAGGCACATAAACTTCTTTTCAACGATCATAATGAGCAACTCGAAGCTGCACGTTATCTTCTCTTTTGTCAGGTTGCGAGGTTTACTTTTTCGAGCTCTTGGCTCCAAAGATGCTCTTCTTTGGAGCAGAAACAAACGTAGCACCCCACGCTTTCGACGAACTCTTTCCATCCTTCATCTTTGCTAGTACAGCGGACACTGTATCAGACGATAAATGAGAGTACTTGCCGCGAGCATCTCTACACAGCAATTGATAAGCAGTCTATCACTTACGTACATAAGTAATAACATCTGAGAAATACGTACTTTTGTTGTGGGTCTAGAAACGCTTCCACGCCTCCGGAAATGAATAGATCAACGAGATGCGAGAATGGAACGAAGCAGTCCTTTAACTGAGCAATTGGGACGGACTCAATGAAGTCGAGTAGCACGTCTAGATTGCGTTTGAAGTTGGCAATCCCCTCCATATTGAGCTTCTTGACAGTTGATCCACTCAAAATCTGCTCCAGCGACTTGGCCAGATAGCTGCACGACGCAAAGTGCACAGCTTCTTGGACTGCTGGGGGCAGTTGACCCAGTTGTGCAAATGTTACTTTGAGATAGTTGATGAGATCCCACATGGAAGGGTCTGGTTGTGTCAGAACAGTGCTTGGAGTCCAGTTGAGATAGTAGAAACTCGAGAGCAGCTCGTCAATCTTCTTCAACTGGAATGATACAACACATTAGCCTAGCATTGAATATACTCAGTAGATAGAAGTATACGTACCATCAGTTCGCAGACCATATCTTGCGCTCTCGTGGTTGTGCTATCGAATTTCTTCTTAGCTGCAGCCTTACTCAACAGCAGTCGACTGGAGCAAGGCTTCACCAGTTGAGTGTTCGCTCCACGAAGCGTGTTGCTGACACTGTAGCCATACGTCCGTGCTTCCCAGGCTTCCGTCTGCACCTTGACGTGTTCTTCAAAGCGATCACAGGCGCAAGCCAAGAACGACGCGTTCGTGCCCATCATAACAGCCTACAACACAAAAGAGATTAAATTTTTGGCATA